AATAAACTACAATTTATTATTTAACATATATGTAGAATGTATGTTTGTAAAACCAACAGTTCTGATATATAATATTTTTGACCTGGCGCTGAACTTGATAAATTATATGCATGTGATCGAAATCTCAAAAAAATGTTGATACGTAGGTATTATATATATATATATACAAGAATTATATATAAATATAAATTAGACTGAACACATAACTACAGGTATTGTAGTACAGCGTGTTTAATGCTGCTATAACTTTATATCGCTAGCGGCCATCGCTTTATAGGAGCTCTAATGGTGTGAGACTCGGTTTTATATTCTCAGATAATTTTTGATATTAATATTTCATTTGATTTATGTTATATTTACTGCTCTGCTCCTAGCTTATATTTGCAGATTACTAGAGTTCTACTCCTCGATAGATTGAAAAATGAGAATTAGTTTTATAATTAGACTTTTACATGCGCTTTTGAATCGTCCATTTAGTTTAAAAAGCATGTTGTTTTTTAAGGAACTACCACCGGCCTTGAAGGCAGTTCTGCTGAGAACAAGCAACAAGTTCAAGATTATACCGACTTACAGGGTTTTTAATACTTTAAACCGGTATAATCGGTAAATGTAAGCCCTTATATGAGTATATTTATCTTAATTTCATACAATTTCATCTATAAAAAAGTTTTAAACAGAGTAATATATTTTATTTAGTAAACACAAAACAGTTCAGTACTTTGTTTTCCTTTATTTTTCAATCGATTTTCTTTTTTTTTGTTTCGTAACTATTGATCAGCTTTAGTGTTGTTATCAATAAAAAAAATTAAAAATAGTTTTTTTTATATAATGATTATGGTTTTATTATATTTATTCACATACTTAATTACTTATATGTATATTTGTATTAACGAGTACATCCCTAGTGTGTGTACATAAGTTATATATGTGTAGTGTATCAACTATCTGGTATCCATAACACAGGCCTCGTAGCTTACCATGTAACTAGATGGTGCTGTGTGTTAATGTCCCAACATATTTATTATTTATGTATAGAAAAAGTAAGTAATTAATTATTTTGTTATTCACCAGATTGTTGATCAGCTAAAGCCATTTTATATAAGAATTTTCATTATTTATAAGAATTGATAGTGATTCCTTTTTAAAATTAATATTGTTTTTGCGTAGGAGTCATCATCGTGATATTTTAATTTATTTCCATCCATATGTCTGTTTTAGTCTAGATGTTAGAACAAAAGGCGTAAATTAAAGAAAGTACGTATGTACCTCAGAAACGCCTTGGGCATAAAGTTTTTTCCTTCTGTCTGTGGGTGGTTGATATATTGCGAGGGCGTGGTTTTGGACATCTTTGAAGCTCATGATGGCATTATGGTATTATATATATATAAACAATTTAATTAATTGAAAGTTCCTCATTTTTCTTGTGCTTTTGTATTTTCGTCTATAAATAGGATTTTTCTTGCAAAATATAATTCGTTGTTTGTTTTTTAATCTAAATAATTGGATGAAGAACTTAAACATCATTCTAATCAAAGTCATATGTAATGTAATACTTTTACGAGAACTTGTGTGTATTAACTATCTACTCACTAAATGACTCGTTGGAAGTTTTCATCTATTTTTTATCCATATACAGCGCGGTCGAAGCAGCAGCAAAGGAAAATATACTAACTTTGAAAAATTAAAGTATAAATACGTATATGAGAAAAGAATTTTTATTTTTACATTATTCTAATTTTCAGCTACAATTTCAGTTCTTTGTAGGTAACGAAATGTCAAAATAGGCAGGAGGTTTAGAAAATATTTTGATTCTTTGACGTAACGATTTACGTTACCATAAGATTTTTTTAGATGTCAATTCGACTATTTGTTCTATGACTTATAGACGTGCCATTTGGGCACAGTTTGTTTCACCATTCTTATGTAGAATGGAGAAGATATGTACTTTGAAATATATATTCTATATACGATTTTAGGATGATATCTTGTCAAACCCTTACAAGTGTACCCTGAAGGTATAATATTTACAGTGTATTGGGCCGTCTATCAGATTTTGAGTCATCGGTCCAGGCGATATTTTTTTTTTATAGAAAAAAGGGGCAAACGAGCAAACGATTCACGTGATGGTAAGTGGCTATCACCGCCCATAGACATCTGCAACACACGAGAGAACACGAGAAGACACGGCTATTGAAGACCTCCATATTATAGCGCTCAGGAAAAACCTCAGTAGGAAGATCATTCCACATTTTGCACGTGCGAGGTAGAAAAGAACAGATATCTATATGTAATCAATCCTGCATCACGATATGGCCTCATTTACTAAACCAATACGAGTAAGTGCTATCGCAATAGATAAAAAAATATCTCTAACAAGTGATTGGGAAATTTGCAATGGTTTTAATATAATATTTAGTTAATTTATAAATAGATTTTATAATTTTATTTTCGCTGCAAAGTTTATGAAATGAAAATTTAAAATTTTTTTGGGCCTTTTCTACTTACGAGTATAAATAAAATTATATCTGTTTGTTATTTCAAAATAGCCCCATAATAATTCTCCAAGAAAATCAGCCATTCTAATCGTTGTGGCAAAAAATATAGTTAAAAAATGAGAAAAAGTTTTGAAAACATTTGACATCTGCTTGAGATCTTTAAAAGAAAACTTATATATTACTAGCAGAATCCACGACTACGTCCGTATTCAATCTACAAAAAAAAATATTTATATAATATTGTTCATACAAAAATACTAAAATCACGATTAAAAAATGGCGGGTGGGGGTAGGAGGGTGAAAAATACCTTAAGACCTATTCTCATACCTAATAAAATATAAAAAAGTTATTAAAATCGGTCAAGCCGTTTCGGAGGAGTTTGACCATAAACACCGTGATACAAGATATTGATATACTAAATTGTTTATTACGTTCCTATTTGTTCATTATATATCTCAGATATCCTTAAGTTATCAACCCCGCACTCAAGAATCTTTCTTTCCTTGACAGAAAGACGTTAACAAGTTAAGACTTCTACTACGAATAAAACTTTGAACGGACAATACTTAATATTGAATTGCCGGCACTAAAAGGTTGTTGAAAACTAATGGAAGAAGTAGTTGAATTATTTCAATTGAATTATAAAAGAACCTTCGTGATAAAAACTTGACTGTAAAATTGAAAGTATCCTATTCAGAATCGAAGATCAAAATTAAATCTAGCAATCTTACAAAATATGTTTTTAATTATTCTAATTAAAAGAAATTATTTTATATAAAATAAATTATATAATATTCACCTGCCTGATTTTGATCACGGCAACCAAACTCACTGGGCTCCACGGCAAATATTATAGTACACTAGGGTATGCACAAATATGCTTACTTACTTTTTTTTTCTTTATTGGCTTATAGTTGCTTAGACTTCGAAAATATCTGATTAGGTATCTGGTAGGTTTTTTTTTAAGTTTTATTTTTCCATTTTTAGCGTAGACGTAATAAGCATATAATTTGTAAGAAGATAGTTTTTTAATATCATATTCGACTATACAATTTATTTAAAAAATATATTTATTGTTGATTTTTTTAAAAACCGCTCGAACGATTTCGATAAAATTTATATGGGACCATCTAGGAAGTATACTCTTTGAAACAAAAAAAAATTCCAAATCGGTTCAGGCGTAATCAGTGAACATACATAAAAAAAAGAAAAAAAAAGATTCCGACGAATTGATAACCTCCTCCTTTTGGGAAGTCGGTTAAAAATGCGTGGAAGCATCAGCTTCCTAATCGTAGCTTGCTATTGAGACAATATTTGCTAGAAAGATCCAATTACTGTATCTAAATCAACCAGTCACCACAGTACAGGATCTTCGGATGTTCAGTCACATAGCCACAAGACCAACTATACTATTAATACCAAATTATTGGGTAAAATATTCCAGATGTTCTTTTCCATGTTCGTAAAAATAATTCAGGGATAATAAATTTAGTATATATTTAGACTTTTTTTACTTGAAAGGAGCTAGTTTTTTTAAGAACTAGCACATACCTGTTTAAACCGATAAAGTTATAATGCATAGCAATAGAAAATAATGTAAAAGATAAGAATGTTAGATAGGTATTTTTATGTTGAATAAACAACGAGAATTAATATTTATTAGTACATTCTCTCTGGCAGAGGAAACACAAATAAAAATTAAATTAACATAGATCGAAAGTTATTCTGTCAAATAATTAAATTATTGCTAAATATTTAGACAAGTGTTTCAGGCATAGACTGAATTTACTATAGTACAAACTGAACGAGATACTGTGCCAATTGGTAGCTAGCTTTTTCTTGCCGAAAATTATCTTTCATTGTCATCTACTTTTTTTTTATTTTGTAAATAAACTACATGTTGAAAATTATAATGCTCTGAGAGGTGTCCCTAATACCAGCCTCTTCCAAATGTTCCATCCAATACCAGGCAATAGGTATATCGATATATGTATCGAATTGTACACGTTTTCACACTACAGGCGTTCTAGAATGTGAAGAGCCTTTGGTTCTCTATTAATGATATGATCTGTCCAAATTTTATCTAAAATAAACTTAAAGACAATTACTGCTTAATCAAAACATAATTAATAGGAATCAAACTACCACATCTAAAACTTAGCCATAATGAAAAAAATATGGTCGCCTAGTAGTATTATACATATTTTTAGAAATACGGAAATGTGGATAATAAATTACATTTATTATATCATTTTATTATTTGAAAATCATATGAGCAACCACTCTAAAAATAATCTTGGTCTTACAGTTTTACTTAGGTAATCTAAAACCAAACATTCACTGCATTGCAGACAGATAGCAAAATGATAATAATTAGTGATGAGCGTCATCTTTGTCCCATTGAATAAATAAAGATAAAAATTATCTCAATGCAGTCGCCACAATACTATAAAAGACATTGCTACCTCATCATATACATTTTAGTACAGTAACTAAGCGCAAAAATGGTTTCTGACTTCAGAAAGAAGAAGCTTTTGCACGTTTTCACCTCATTCTTCGATAGGGATGGCAGTGGATCTATCGATAAAAGTGACTTTGGGTTAGCTATCGACAATATCGCGAAGATCCGAGGATGGCCCGTCGGTGGAGAAAAATACAAAGAAATACAGACCACTTTGTTGCAAATTTGGGATGGACTCCAAGGCCGCGCTGATGTTGATAAAGATGGCCAAGTATCTGTTGATGAGTGGATATCCATGTGGGATGATTATGCCAAGAATCCCGGATCTCCTCTTGAATGGCAGAGCCAGTACTGTAAGTTTATCTTCCAACTCGAAGATGCCAGTGGAGATGGAGCCATTGATGGCGAAGAGTTTTCTTCTGTCTACTCTTCTTTTGGTCTGAATAAAGACGATACCCTCACCGCCTTCAAGAATATGTCTAAGGGTAAAGCTAACGTATCGTGGGCTGAGTTCCAAGAACTGTGGAAAGAATATTTCATTTCTGAAGATCCAAAGGCTCCAGGAAATTTCATTTTTGGTAAATCTAGCTTTTAAGTGAATTCAAGTGAAATACATGCATATATTAGTTTTTTTTTAAATATAATATATAGTGCCATCGGAAAGTTTACACAATTCCGTTTATTCAGCATTTATTAGTGGTATACTTGTACTAAATAACTCTAAAAGTGACTATTTTTACTTTGCATAATTAAAATTTTAATAAAATGATTTATTATCTAGGATATGATATTAAGGTATTTTTATTATATTTGATTCCTCTATTCACTATAAATAAAAATATTTATCAAAAAAGAAATATTTTTGCCGATATTAAGTTAACGAAAGTTAATAACTGTCTTAAGTGCTATCTGTCTCATAAAACTAGAAGACGATTTTATGGAGTGGTCGCAGTAAATGCATTAAGACCCTTGCAAGGGCGATAAAAAAATACTATAATCCCAGACAATTTGGCAAATGAGTGGCGTGCTTACCCCTCCTCTACAGCCATTAGAACTCTTTTATCGCATTACTCTCGATTGCAGATGCAAGAAACTTGAATATTGAGTTATATTTAAAATGTTAGAATTGCCATAGATTTTTATATTTTTGATTTATTTTTAAATATCTACTAAATAGTTTTTAATTTTATTTTATATTTGAGAAATTTTATCTATAACATTGAATATAATTGAACTAGCAACTCACCCTTGCTTCGCTTGGGTTCGTCCCTAGGTACGTTTTAAATGGTAGTATAGAATAGATATACTATATTATATTATATGATATAATAATAGCCTATAGCCTTCCTCAATAAACGGGTTATCTAATGTAAAAATAATTTTTCAAATTGGTTTAGTAGTTCCTGAGATTAGCGCGTTCAAACAAACAGTCGATGACTAAAGCATCCCAATTTGTACACCTGAATAAAAAGTAACCTCCTTTACTCTCAGGGATTACCTGTTCAGTAATACATCTTACTTACAAATATACTTTTGCATTTATAATAGATGGTGTTCATCTTACATAGATTTTAATATAATATAACGCACGGACATTTAAAATAATTAAATTACCTTATTAGCAAAATTATTTATAATGTATAAATTTCAAAACAAGAATAATGTTAGTCATTTTAGCTATTAATCTACATCCGTTTCCTGAGTACAAAATACAGGTGTAGATAAAAATATATAAGTGAATATACAGTTCACCATTATTTTGTGCAGAAAATTCTGTAAAGAATTTGTTTTTACTATATTAAATTATACCGCATCCACTAAGCACGTTTTACTGTGCCGGGTAGAAGCGGAGACCGTGACGGATGCACACTATCTGTCAGGAAGAGACACGTATGGCCGCCTTATGGGTGCTTGCCGCTTATACATTCTATTACACGCTTCCGATTTACTCACAGCAGTAAATGTAGCATTTCGATCAACATATATAATAATAATATATTGTAAGTTTTTACATGCAGACAGTGGAGAAGAAAGCTATCAAATTATTATAATATGCATAAATTATATCAAAAAATAAGGCTGTTTGCCAATTACTTTTTATTTTAATTGTTTAATCTAATAGTATATTTTATAAGGTATATTCTAGTTACACAATATAAATTCGTATAATAAACTTTTATCGTTATTGTTGCAATGCAGGGACGATACATTGACGTGTATCATTGCGTTTAATTGATTACTATTAGATATGAATAATCGCAGTCTTCCGAACGCTATATATAAGCCCCAAACCAGTCACATTAATAGTAGCTGGAAAATATCAAATCAACAAAATGGTGTCCGATTTCAAAAAGAAGAAACTTATGTATCTTTTCAAGATCTTCTTTGACGCTGACGGCAGCGGCACTGTTACGAAGAAGGACTTTGAATTGTCGATCCAAAAGATCGGTAAAGCGAAAGGATGGGCTCCTGGAGACGATAAATACAAAATGGCTGAAAAAGCAATGCTCGATATTTGGCAGGGTATGCAAATCAAGGCTGACCTGAACAAGGATGGTGAGATTTCTGCCGATGAATGGATTTCGATGTGGGAAGACTTTGCCAAAGATCCTTCATCTCCCGTAGACTGGCAAAAGTACTACTGTAAGGCTATTTTCCATATCCAAGACTCGTCTGGTGACGGTGCAATTGACAAAGAAGAATTTGTGTCCGTTCATACATCTTTTGGACTATCACAAGAAGATTCCGCAAAGGCGTTTGACAAAATGGCAAATGGTAAATCTAGTCTAACCTTCGAAGATTTCGAGAAACTTTGGCAAGAGTTCTTCTCGTCTGAAGATCCTAATGCTCCAGGAAACTTCATTTTTGGTAACCTTAGCTTCTAATTTTGCTTTAATTGTGTGTGAAGATCAATTGTGTTTATTTATTGTAAGTATGTAGTAAATAAAAATAAAATAAATATTTTTTTGTCTATTTCTTATCTTATTGGATCTTATTAATAAATTATTATCATTTATCACAACCGATGCTTTATCATTGCATTGGTTACGTTACTTTTTTCAACATCAAATACATTATAAATTCTAGATTCTTCTGTAAATGATTAATATATTATAGAAGGTTTAAAATCTAGCCACGAGAATATGTAGTCCTTTAAATTTCAAAGAAAACAACTGATAATGGTCACATCGTCCTAAATAAATATAGAATTTGGAAATATTTTTGTATACCCTTTGTGCAATTTACTTAGCCTTTTAAAATTACCCTAATTTAACAAATTTCGCAACGATAAAAGCCGTGACCCAAGACAGATCCCTGTTAAGATTAAAACGGGTGGTTATAAATAAAGAACAATTTTGCGGAAAACGGAATAAAAGTGGACATTTTTGTTGAATACGACGAGTGCTAATTATGAGGTGAATTATCGTTTTGAACCCGGGACAGGAAGGTGTATAGTGTCTAAGATATAGGCTACAAGCGGACTGTTATATATAATTTAGTAATATATTGGATATTTGATAAACTTTTACTAATACAGGATAGCATTTTTAAACTAAGTATAAGTTTAAAAGAAATGAAATAATATGCGTGTACATAAGTATCTACAAAATATAATTTTTCGACGAAGAGTCAAACTACCCTTTAGTTTTTGGTTGGAAATATGGGAAATACATTATATTATTATATTGAATAGATTATTACCAAGTTAAAATAAAAGCGATTTTATTATCAAATATTTATCTATACTTCTATACTAATATTATAAAGAGTTTGTGAGTTTGTGACGTTGTAGGGTTACCCCCTCTGGATCTAGTGAATCGACTTAGATGTTTGGTAAGAAGATAGTTTAGGTCCCTGAAAAGGACATAGGATACTTTTTATCCCGGAAATCATCCTTTAAGGGGGTGAAAATGGAGATGAAAGTTTGTATGTGGAATCAAGCTAGGAACGAACGCGAGCGAAGCGAGGGTGAGTCGCTAGTATTATATATTAAGACAAGAATCATAAAAATTAGTTTCAAACTTTTTAAGTTATCGCGTAACATGCAGATACAAACATTTTAATCCCAAATTGAGTATTTTCTCTTTTTAAAGTCGGTTAATCATAGAAAAAAATAGAGTAATAATTTTAATTATACTAACATTCACCTAGTGGTCGAAATTCGATCATAATTATAATTATTGAAAAGTTTAGGAAAACATACGAGTACGAATAGTTTTTTTCCAAAATTGTTCTATTGATAATACTAAAGTGACGACACGTTTGGCTCAGTTTGTAGTGACCCCACTTGCTGTGCCAGCGGTCGCGGGTTTGAATCCCGCTGGGGGCATTCATTTGTGTGATGAGCAGGAATGTTTGTACTCCTGTCATAGGTATTTATACTTATAATATGTATGTATTTAAAGTTATATGTGTATGTACTCCAGTCATGGGTGTTTATTTTTATACAGATAAATAAAATTGAAATATCTGTTTGTTATGTCAAAATAACAGCTTTTTACTAAATGCATATGGATGTACGAGTATACACGGTACATATACCAAAACAACGTTTTTTACAATTTTTGTTTGTCTGTTTGTTTCGGCTAATCTCTGAAATGGCTTGACCGATTTTGACGGGACTTTCACTGGCAGATAGCTGATGTAATAAGGATTAACTTAGGCTACTCTTATTTTAGAAAAAAGATAGGGTCCCACGAAAAAAAATTAAAACCAATGAAAAATTCAATAATATCCGATTCAAATAGGGAAGTTGTATACACATCCAAGTGACGAACCCGAGTAAAGCGAGGGTGAGTCGCTAGTTTGTAGTATGTATGTATTTAAAGTTATATATGTGTAGTGTAGCAACAATATAGTATCCAAAACACAAGCCTCGTAGCTTACCATGGAACTAAAAAGTGCTGAGTGTTGATGTCCCAACATATTTTTACTAAAACTCGGCAATAGCTGCCATGCAAAACAAAAGAAAATCGTTTGATAAAACTAAAAATAAACAAGTGAAAAGGAACTGTTTTGTCTTTGCCTATTTATATACAGAATAAACTATCATAGGAACGTGAGAAATCTATACATATAATAAAATTGTAACCAAGCCGAATCTGTATATTAAATATTTTTTTAAAAATCTTATTGAAATATGCATTATTATCGATACAGAGTCCGAATCTATAGTTTTTAGAATTTTTGTCTGTCCATCTGTCTGTCTGTCTGTTATCGCATCATAGAAAAACCACTGGAAAGATTTTGATGGTGATAGCTTCTTATCCGGGTTAACATATAAGATACTTTTTACCGCGGGAAAATATCTTATTTCTGAGAAAAAATACAAAAACCGCAATGTAAGAGTAAACTAAAATGTAAAACTTAAGAATTTGGTTTTTGGTAATTATAAATAATGTAGAGGTAAGTGGAAAGTCAAATTACTTATGATAATCAAATATTATCCATCATTTGTTATAAAATTATCTTGATATCGCATTCGAAGTGACATAACTTTGATGTCTGTGACGCACGTGGTCTTATTTACACCGGCTTAGTCTTATCAGTTTTGTTGGTTTGTTTCATACTAAATTATAGCAAAGATAACAACAGTAATGAGCCTCGGCTTGAAAGACTTCGAGGAAATCAGTTTTTAGATTATATTATGTGTTTGACTGTAAAATATAAGTTATACATATACTTCTTCTTCTTCTCCCTGCCTATTTCCCAATCACTTGGGGGCGGCGCAGTGCATCTTCTGTACTACTGACGTCAACCCTTCTTGGGAATGCTATTGTCTCTCTTTGTCTGAATGGTGTCGCGGTAGTCTTGTAATTATTATGCATTTTCGATTTTGTTGTCTTTTAAAACAGTTTTTATACTATTACTTAAATTTTTAATGTTATTTTCGGATATATTTTAAAATAAATTTTGATTACACCATAAATTTTGTTTTGACGTTGTAAATTTTTTTCTAAATTTTCTAAAGTTATATATATACATAATATGTATTTCACAACACGTTTGGCTCAGATCGTAGTGCTTGCTGTGCCAGCGGTCGCGGGTTCGTGTCCATATCCAGTGAGGGCATTCATTTGTGTGATGACCACGAATGTTTGTACTCCAGTTATGGATTTTATATTTATAATATGTATGTTTTAAATCAACTATCTGGTATCCATAACACAAGCCTCGTAGCTTACTATGGAACTAGATGGTACTCTTGTATTAATATTCCAACATATTTATTCATATAACGAGGTGATTGTTATGTACGGTACTTAAACAAGATGTCGTTCTACAATTTTTAAAGATAAAAACATTTTAAAATTAAATATTGAAAGTGTAAATCTAATGGTAATACGGGAGAATCATGTTAATATATCATTCTCGTATATTTCTTCAGAGTTATATTCTTCAGCAATCGAAGATGACATCTCGTTTAAGACTCTAAACTCCTCAGATGAACTTCTATCTATACATATAATAAAATTCTAATTAAGCCGAATCTGTACATTAAATATTATTTGGAAAATCTTATTGCAATAGACATTATTATCGATACAGAGGCCGAATCTTTAGTTTTTAGATTTTTTCTGTCTGTCTGTCTGTCTGTCTGTCTGTTAGCGCATCACGGAAAAACCACTGGAGTGATTTTGATGAAATTTGGTATGATGTTAGCTGGATATCCAGGTCAACATATAGGATGCTTTTTACTGCGGCAAAATATTTCGTTTCTGAGAAAAAACACAAAAACTGCAATGTAAGAGTATACTAATATATAAAATTTGAGAATTTAGTTTTTGGACATCTGAACGCGGGCGGAGCTGCGGGCAATGCTAGTGACTTAATAAATTCTAAGCAATAATAACGCTTCAGCGCATAAAATGTACCAGATTTTCGGACCCGGTACTAGTGGAGGGCTACCTGAGTAGCTTCACGATATTAATAGCCGTGTTATTACGCGTAATCGCTGTTAAAATCTCCCTCCTTTATTATATGATCTTGGGACTATTTATGTCAGTGAATTTGTTCTATGATAAACCTGTAAATACTTGAAAATGGGTCATCATTAGTAATACTTTGATTAATTTGGATTTAAAATTTTCCTTTATCAACAGCTATACCTAATGTAATAATATAACTTTTTCAACTATTTATTTTAAGAATACATTTGAGATCTTTTAATAAATAACATGGTGGGATTTTAAATAAAAATATCTTTTCGGATTTTGTCCTGGATTTATTTTGATTTTTGTTCCTGATGGTTTCAATGCTTTACACCATTATTAGAATTTGATTCAATGAAAAGAGAGTTTTATTTAAAATGTCAAATATTCGCGTAAATCTAAGATAGTGTGGTGGGTTTTAGTTATTAAAAAAACTGTTGTTGATTTCAGTTACTGGTAGGTGGTACATGGTATAGTGCCTGCCTCTGTGGTGTAGTGGCTGGCATGTACGGCTGCACACGCGGAAGTCCTGGGTTCGAGTCCCGGGTCGGGCCAAGTTTAGTTACTGAGTCTTTCTGTATAGTAAGCCTCAGTAATAGCCCGAAGTTGGGAAGTTGGCGGTGTTTCACCCCCGTGCCTCGGAGAGCACGTAAAGCCGTCGGTCCTGCGCCTTAACTCTCACCGGTCGTGTCGAGCAGTCGTCCCACCGGAGTATGAGAGTGACAGGAATAGAGAGTGCACGTTGTGTCTGCGCGTACACTTGAGCACTATAATATCTCCTGCGCAGTTGGCTAGTCTCAATGAGATTGGCCGCCGTGGCCGGAATCGGTCAGGAGAACACATCATCACATGGTATTTATATTCTAGAGTGTATGCAAGTCGTGTAGGTACTTATTTTTTATCTTTGGATTGATATTTTGGTTTCACATTTTTGATCATGTGTGTTGTAT